GCCAAATTCTTGCCAATACACAGCCCTAGTGTCTTGGCTTTCCATGCCTTTTTACACCTCCCTTTCTTAATGTGTTCAATACTTTTTCCCTGTGCCATTCCACATTATTACAAATAACTTCATTTCTGGACATTTATGATTTGATTTCTTTGTATGTATGGATCACTTGGGTTGTTACCGACAACTGGTGAAAATTTCATTTCATTAGCACCTCTAGTAATATATTTACTGAGAAAAATGGTGACGTGTTCAATACTTATTTTACCAGCTGTAAGTGAGGCTTCACTCTCTTGTATTAAACTACAAACTTCCCCATTTATAAGAGACATCTTAAGTCGGCATTTTATCCAACTGTACAGAAATAAAACAGCGCTATCTAGCATAAAACATGACATCATCTTAATAACGTAGTCGATTTTAGAGAGCCACAATGCATTTCAGGTCTTTAAAGTGATAAGAGCCTTACTACGTCAACATTTAAAAAGATAAAAAAATTTTCAGGGTGCTGTTAAAAAATGCTCACAAAATAAAACAGAACACCAGCTTTTTCCCATACATTTATTGAGATTTTTTTTGGCAATCTACCACAACAATAAACAAAACCATGTGTAAATTATGCAAACTATTATGTGCAAAAGTGAATATTATGTTATAGCACTGATAATTCACGTGCTTCTGTTTAGTCTCAAACATTTTCAGATTTCTGTTAGGTGTGTACACAAAGTTGTCAGCACGGTGAACTCTCCCTGGGTGAAATATTAGTGAGTTGTAGAAGATGCAGCAAACAGCTGCATTTAGATTGAATAATGTGTTGCTGCTGTTCGATTAACTGATGCGGTGCAAACTAGCCGATAAAAAAAAGCTAAACAAAGTGAGCGAGACAGACCCACATGTCTACAAAACACTGAATATGACAAAAATACTACAAATGAACCGTATAACATTTACTGTGTAACTGAGCCATGCTTCCTGACATTGTGCACAATAGTTTTCAGTAAACTGATTGCATGTTGGTCGTGAAATTCGCTACAGTCACCTTCTGTGAAATCACGCTTTAGGTACATAATATTCTCAAGTACATCTAAAATACAACACTTAGGCCTTCTGTTGAAGATAACAACGGTGAACGTTTGCAACAAATACTGAAAAAGTAAACTAGACAAACAAATTGATTGTAAATAAACTACATTTACCAAAATGCAAACCCGAAGCAGCGCGTACTCAATCAGTGCACAGACACTGCTCAGACGTCAGTGACGATGCAGAGGTTTTTCATGTAGGCTGATGGAGGCAACACTTCAGCTGTTCCCAATCATTTTCAAAAGAAGCTGCAGAGAGAAAAGGAAGAAAAAAATTGTTACAGGTTTCCAATGAAAAAAAGAAAAAGAAATCCCAAACTCAGAACTGATCAGATCACATCTGATGAAACTATGACTGAGAAAAGAAGAACGATCTGTTAATTAACATAAAAACTGTCCGTCACTGAGTTCTGGTAGAGATGTGAACATTTTTGTCTTAATACACAAGCAATATGAAATGTTTTTGATTTTTATCGCAACAAAGCTCTGCAGTTTTACCATGTTTTTCAAGCCACAGTGCTGAAACAGCTCACAACGAAGTTACTTATGTTCTCAGCATTTTATATGTAAATAACGAATGGATGTTCCCCAATTATTTGGTACAAATTATACACACATAAAAATTAAATTGTTTTTTTTAATCTTTTAAATATCTGACTGATCATTGAATTAAAAAACAGTTTAATACCATTTTTATGTGTAATTTAAAAACATTGTATGAGTTTTTGTTGTTGCTTTTTATTGATCTTGAGAGTTTAAGTTCGTTACAATAAAGTCACTTAAAGCAGAATTGTCAAGTTTTTTTTCCTCCACACTTCTTTTCTTGTTTTAAGGGGAATGATGTGGATTAACTTATACGATGCAAAATAAGAATCTGCGGTTTATGATTTAACAATGGAAAACGAACCAAATAATTTAGATATTTAATTTAATATTTTGGAAGTCTAACCCCTTTATAAACCAAAGGGAGCCCCGGCAGAAAAAGTTTGAAAACCATTGCCTTAAATCAAGTTTCAAACTGAGTACAAACGTTTCCAAAAATAATTACTTTTAAGAGAGGTTATTATGCAAAATCAATTTTTTAAGCTTTATAACAATGTTATAGTGTCATTTCCTCATTAAAACATACTCAGAGTGTTGCTTTTACTCATTCATGTATGTTTGAGGAATCTTTGAATCTCCTGTGGTAGCCATGTGGAGCTGCTCAAACACTGGCTGGTACAAAGCCCCGCCCATTTATACAGAGCTCCTACAGCTGAGTTCCCACCCCACAGAGCACCCCTCTCCTGAAGCATTGTTGTGAAGATATACTGGAGTGGGATTGTCTGAAATGGTAGGAAGTTGTTACAGACAGAGGGGCCATTTTGAAGGTGTTCAAATTTATTTTTCATAATATATACAGCATTTTAAGAACTGAAGGTAACATAGTTACTTGATTGTGGTATAGAATTTTTAAATATAACAAATGTTAGAGCTTTTAAAGGAGCATTGTTTCATTATTTTGTTATATAGAGTGTTATAATTGCACATTTATGAACTGATAAACTTTGTTACTAATGTTATATTAAGTGCATGTAATTGTTCATTTGTTTATTTATTTATTTTTTGTAATTTTTTTAAGGACCCCAGGAAGAGTAGCCCTTGTTACAGCAAAGGCTAATATATATACGTATACATATACATATATACATATATATATATATATATATTAGCTGAAGAAATGCACATCGCCTAGACGTGTCCCGATACAACTTTTTCACTTCCGATACGATACCGATATTGACCCGATACGATATCAGAATGATTCACACATACATTCAACATATTAATTTTGTAGTGTGGAAACTCAAAATGTCTTAATCAAGTCAAATACTGAATAGTAAACAACAGTAGGTATGAGAAAAACTGACGCATTTATTATTAACCAATGGGTTACATACATTTTTTTACTTAAACCTAAGAATATTTTACAGTTAAATAAAATAAATAAAAAGAAGTGCTAATATCTGAGATTTTAGATGCAGCTGATATAATCCAATATTAATTATTTGGCTAATACTGGATCAATATCGGATTGGGACACCTCTAATATCGCTCACCACTGGTTTTGTGTTTAAGATGTGTTGGTCACTTTAGTTTGATCAACTCTAAAAATGTATCAGTTGTAGATGAGTTCCTGTAAGTCTCATTAAACTGTCTGCTGGTTCATGAAAAGTTTCAGACAAACGAACACAAACAGGCAAAGTAAAAAAAAAAAAAACATCGCACTTTTCTGACAGCAAAATCTACCGTAATCTTAACATTTAAAGAAAGATTAGGATTATTATAAAACAACGCTCCGATAGAGTTTAACTACATCTTCTGCATGTACCTTAGTTAGAAAATACTCCTCATCAACCAGCTGCTCGATGATACTGAAGTGATCTGCATTCGCTACATCCTCCAAGGTCACGTTAAGTCCTGCTGCTTTCAAAGCCTTCAAAAGACAAAAAAACTCAGATTATGCACAGCAAAATTTCAGAGATGTTAAAAAGTACTTCATGTAAAGTCATAAAGACCACATAAATAAAATCTAACTAATCTGCATTTTTCTCACATTCACTTGAAAAGTTGTTAAAGCCATAATCGCTGTCAAAATATGTGATTTTTTCATGTTTTTGTACAAGTGTATCATCTAGGAAAAAAATAACCACTAAGTATGCATCATTTACTACCAGAGGTCTAGTTTGTATTTGATGAGCAAAATCCGCTGAGTCATGTTTGGTTGCCAATGAGTCATTTGTTTACATTAGAACATGGACATAGTACACTATGGACAGTGTTGGCACAGGGACAGTAAATGGTAAATGAACTGAAATTATGTAGCATTTTATCAAGCCCCATCGTACACCGAAAGTGCTTTACACTACAGTCATTCACACATTCACACTCTGATCACCATCAGTTTTTAATAAAGAGCACAGCGGATATCGAGTCAGTAAAATAATCCCTGAATGTAAACAGAGATTCCAGGTTGAAAGCAAAAAGATCAAATTCTTCTCTCTTCTACAATAAATAAATAAATAAATAAATAAATAAATAAATAAATAAATAAAACTAAAAGCTGTGAGGATGAGTCGACGGAAGCAGAATCATTCGGGGGGGAAAAGCTGAGCGGTGGAGAGAGTTAAAGCAAAAGATGGAGCTAAAATGATGTGAAAATGAGCTGTGCTGAGATTTACTGAACTCTGTAAACAAAGGCGTGAAAATTAGCTGCTTTCTAATGTAAGTTTCATTTTAAAAAATGAGTTTGAGTGACATTATTAACCCTCAAAAACCTATCAATTAATGAAGTAGAAAATGTGTTAAGACACATAAAACTCTATTGAAATATTGCATGTTTTGACAGTTATTATAGCTTTAAATTAAACATGTGACCAGATGCCAGCTACCATGTGCATTATGTTTACATAAAGCACATTATGTTTACATAAAGCACATTACGTTTACATAAAGCACATTATGCTTACATAAAGCACATTATGTTTACATAAAGCACATTATGTTTACATAAAGCACATTACGTTTACATAAAGCACATTACGTTTACATAAAGCACATTACGTTTACATAAAGCACATTATGTTTACATAAAACACACTATATTTACATAAAGCACATTATGTTTACATAAAACACATTATGTTTACATAAAACACATTATGTTTACATAAAGCACATTATGTTTACATAAAGTACATTATGTTTACATAAAGCACATTATGTTTACATTAAGCACATTATGTTTACATAAAGCACGTGGTAGCTAGCCAAATTGACTGAAACTAAATCAACCGTTAAACTTACAGGTCCTATCTGTTTACAGACTAACGTTGGTCAGTTGCATGACTCAAGCTTTTACACGCTCTATGGCAAATTTAGTTGAGTGCTATGTTCACTGAGTACAAACCCACATTTCAAAATTAAATCTCAAAATAACAGGAAAACAATAGCAATAAATAAATAAATAAACTAAACATTGAAGGACAGATAAAAATTTGTAAACATCAACCATTTAACACTGATTTGATCCTGGATTCGTGCAGTTGCGTGACTAAAAACATTTAAATACTCCTTTAGTTCCCATTCAAGTAAAACCAAACTACTGCTAGTTTTGTTGCTTCGTATCAAACATTTGTACAGACTTCGTAGTATTCTTCGGACTGCCTGCGAAACTCGGGTGAGTCGTTCTCGGCGGCGGCCACCACGATCTGGCAGCCGGAGGAGGACAGTTTCAGCTGAGGCACCAGCTTGCTGGGGCTGTTTCTTATCGCCACCTCCCTGCCAGCAGCAGACAGAGAGGAGAGGAATGAGGCTCTGGCTGGCACCACAAACGACAATTACAGAGACTAACAAAGACTTTTCCATCCAAAGTTCCTCACAATGCTCTCTACAACAGTGACTGGCATTTAAAAAGACATAATAGGGACAAATGTAGCAACCGGGTCCTTCAAAGTTACTATATGCTGTACTTTTCAAAACACTATACTTCAATGTATTTTATATGTTTAACATTTCTTATTTATTCATTATTCATTTATTTTCAATGGTTAATCTAACCAACCAGGGGTACGGGTACCCCGCGGGGTACACGAGCATATTACAGGGGATATGTGGCAAAATTTCCCAGGTGTGTAAAAAATAAATAAAAACAGGACTGAGATATGTAGGGCCCTATGATCAGAATCAGAATACTTTAATGATCCTCATTGGGAAATTGCAGTTATCAGTGTGCATTGCCAATGCAATGCACACTATTGTGATTCGTTTCCCATCCAAGTCATCTCAACTTTGCCATGCTTCTCCTCCTGCATACTTTGTCCTAGAGCTGCCATTGTAATTTATTTCTGTAAAGCTCCTGTGCCAAATGATGGCTATGCCTTTTGGTGCCTGTAAAACTTATAGTTTATGAAATATTAATGTTTAATGAATTATAATGGCAGTCGATGGAGCCTTGTATTGGTCCAATACTGCCCCCAGCTGTACTCAACTTGGTACTGCACCATAGTTTTTTTATATTTAATCTCAATAGTTCAGTGTTTACAATACTAATATGATTGTATTTTGATGTTTTACTTTAATATTGTCTTAATACTGCTCTATTGTTGTAATATTATGCATTTTTGTGTAAATAATTGTATTGGCAATGTGGCCTCTTTCTGCACACATACAAACCAACCCCTGCCACCACCTTCTGCCAAAGCTCCATTGGTCTAATGGTCTATGTCATGGACTTTCATGTGGGAGATCAGGGTTCAATAACCAGCTAACGCAACTTAAACAAAAAAATCTATCTCTTCAAACTTCATATTGTCACACAATTACCTTAATTACAAACACCTGCTGACGTGACAGGCACAAGCTGGTTTAGAAAACATATTTGAACTTGGTCAAAGTTCATTCTGCAAGTCCAATGCTGCAGGCAAAGCCATGCTACAATGACATGCTACATGGCAATGTGCACTTGTTTTTACATCGTAAAAACCCATGTCTAGTTACAGCTGCAATCGTTCAAGTAAGCATCAGAGATAAAGTATAAAGGAAGATATTAGAGCACACAAGTAAGAAATAAGTATAAAACCTCTGGAGAACCAAATGAACATAGAGAACAATTAGCATTCTTTAGCGTCTAAACAGTGTAAATAGAAATAATAACAGTGATATACTCTGAAGCTAAAAACAGTATGGCTGATTCATTTATTTTCAATGGTTAGGCCAATTAAGCCATTAAATAGTTTGATAAAATATCTCTGGCAGCTTTTAGATTCATATAATTCATTTATTATAAAAAACGGTCACTCAACACACTAACAATAATTTATGTCTTATTGTGCTAAAGTTCAGTAAATGGATGACATACATACAGTAAAGCTGCTTTATGTCATCCATTCCACAATATGGAAAATGCAAACAGAATCACAAAATTGACACAAAATGTAATAAAAGGCAGAATCTCACAGAATTTGCTCATTTGGGGTATTTGACATATTTTGGAAGCCGCTGCTTCCTTCACCTGTCATTACCTGGTTTATTTATTTAATTACTTATTCACTTTCAAGGCAAAATATATGTTTAATTCGAATTGAAAATAATAAAAATGCCTGAGAATTAAATGTTCTAGGGTGTTAAATAAATAATTTTCATTTAATAATCAGTTGTAGTACACTGTAGTTTTGGAGAATCATCATTACGTTTGACAGAGGGGGTAGTGGTATGATAAAATGGCTCGGGGGTACACAAGTCTAAAAAGGTCGGGAACAACTGCTGCACGGGACACTTCTATTTGACTGAAAATACGAGATATCCCAGTTAATGGGGACCTTCACTCGTGACATCACGCATATCATTTAGACATTAAGATCAGACAGACTGTGTAGATTCTACAGTGAGTCACCATAACAGAAAAAGACGTTCCTAGAGCAAATTTCAACACTTCTGACTTCAGGAATGACAGAAAAGTTCAGGTGAAAGGTTGGCTGGAGGGTTGAGGTCTAACAGATTTGGAAAGCGAGCGGAATTGTTAAAAAGGTTGGTGTTTTTACCAGTGTTTTCTAGAGTAGCTTGCCGCATCTATCTTGTGTACTTTTATCACTCGAGCCACCGCTTCTGCATTAAAAGAATATTAATGGTGATGTTTTGTATGTGGAGGGGCCAAATGTACACAAAAATGAACAGCTGGCATGAAAGTTTACATTTTAAACATTAATTAAAGGAGACCAATTATGGGTCCCAGAAACTTTTATGGTATGTCTGTGGGCTATCCAGACCATGTTCATTCAATTTAATGCACAAAATAATTCTCAGATAATAAAATTTCCCATTTTCTAGTTCTGCCTGCTCTGACTTCTGTTCAGAAGAGCTGTTTATGTTAATGAGCTCTGTTGGTAATGCCCTCCAAAAATCTGTTGACATTAACTCCGCCCTCCAAAGCCAGTGTTTACGTTAGCATGCTAATAACAGCAGAAGCTCCGTTGTACAACCATATGAGACCCAGAGTCAGAGTCGTGGTCAGCTTCTTTTTTTATCTCCCTCCACTGCTCTGCGCTCACTCTGCATGCTGTTACCAGAGCAGGGAGCAGCACCGGTCAAAATACCTCAGAAACTCAAACAAATAACAAGGCTTTAATAAGCTAAACAATAGAGGTACATGAGAAAATGTGTTCATAACAAACAAAAATAAATAAATAATTAAATTGCATCCGTGCTGGTCTCAAACCCTGGTCTCCCGCTCTCTGGTCCAACACTCTACCCATTGCCCTATTGGAGGCTTGTTATGAAATGAGCTGCACATTGCACAACAACAACCGTGATGGCTTTTTATACTGAGGAGGTGGGGCTTCACCTGGGGGTTGGTAGGTAAGGGGCTGAACGCAGGTTCCGGTGGGTTGTCGTACGGCTTGTGACATCACAAAATGACGGAAGTATAAAACTTGTCGTTAATATACATTAAAAATACATTTACTTACAGTAAATATGCCCCTGGATGCATTTTTTGGTCCTAGGACTGTTTTTTTTAAGAAGTACATACCCAAAGTTGAGTAAAAAAAACTTTTAAAAAGTGAATTTTGCATAATAGGTCCCATTGAAAAATCAATACAGTGCTTTGGAGAATAGATACAATATCAGGAAATGAAATATTGCAATTTTCAGTGAATCAATATTTTCTTACACCCTACACTTAGTGGCGATATTAGCAACTGAAAATACAAGGAAATAATAAACATCAAATTCACAACTTAATGAGAAATAATGAGGTAAACATCTATATTTTTATCTATAATCAATGAGGAAACTTTTATTGCAACTAATTCCAAGCACTGATTTTTCAGTTTTTGAGTCATTTGTTTTTATTTTAATCATTTATGTTCTTTAGTTTCGCTTGGACCTGTAAAATCACATAGGAATTGTCCTATTTTAACATTTTTGATTTAACCAAGCCACCAACAAATGGAAAATATTTTAGCCCAAGTGCTTTTCTTAGATTGAGCAGATGAATATTCAAACTGCAGAATATCTGAATGTCAGCAAAAAGACCTTCAGCAGAATTTAAGATAAAATGTGGGAATAGTGTCTGGGTCGACTAGTGATTTCTGAAAACCTGATTACTAGAAAAGGTTAACAGAATAAAAAACAAAAGTGCATGAAAGGGTTACACGGCGTGTACATACTCTGTCATCTTCAGAGGCTCATTAACGTAAGTGGGCAGGATGGGCAGCAGGTCATAGATGCCACTCACGAGAAAAGCACCTTAAAGAAAAATCAAGAAGAAGAGTACACCAAACTGCTGAGCATCTTGTGTGATATACGTTTAGTCATTTTGAGGCAAAGCATCATCCTCCATTTGTCACCTTTAATCTGAGGAGTGACGCTGTACTGGGACCAGTCAGTGGAGAGAACCATCGCAGTCAGGTGAGCTCCAGCAGAGTGGCCGCACAGGTAAAGACCTCTGAGAACCAAAAGAAACCAGAACAAATGTTATAAAGCTGCATGTGACTAAAGGCAGAGCACAGTCAGAGCAGACGTTCGTTATAGAAGGAAAGAGTGTTACTTGATGTGAGAATACTGCTGAACAACAGACACCACACTCCTGCGAACCTGCGACACCATCAGGTCCATGTTACCTTAAAGCAGAGCGCTGACATTTTCACTTCATCTCCTTAAATCTTTCATATTCCCACAAGAACAGAAATGAAAAGACTCTACCTTTAGGGGCGATGTCATAACCAACAGCAACCACAACTACACCCTTATCGATGAGTGGAACGGCCATGAACCCAGATTCATCCTTACTGAAAAGGCAAACGATAAGAAACCTGAGTTATATCGTAGTAAATTAAAATAAAGACTAAAAAGACATACCTGAGAAACTGCCAGTAGCCTCCGTGAATGTAAATAACGAGGTTGACGTCTGAACAGAAAGTGAGGAAGTCTGTTAAGTCATGTGTGATACAAGCTTTAATCAGGATGCCTGGCACGCTGCAGGGCGTCGGTACCCAAAGAGCTGGTCCTGGGTAAGTACACGTCCAGTTTCTCTCCGTCTCCCTCGCCATACGGGACGTCGAGTAAAGTCTGGGTCAGACTACGGGCTCGCTCCGTGCCTGAACAGAAGTGTGATAACTAACATTTGATTACTGCTAACAGATTTTAAAGTTTCTTAAAGAAAGATAACACTGAACACCCCCCTCCCACAATAAAATAAAAATACAGCAATCATTAAGTGCACCTACGCTCTTTTTTTGTCTAATGATTTAAAAACATTAAAACACTTTAATCATATTTGTGATAACACCTGTGTAGTAAAAATCTTAATTTGTTACTTTATTAAGGTATTTACTTTGAATAAGACATTCAAGTGGTTAACACAGAAATAGAAAAATTACAGCACTGGCTCAAAAACAATAAATTATCTGTAAATTTAGATAAAACCAAATTCATGATATTCAGAAACAATAAAGAACAGGAAAATAATCCAATTAAAATATCAATTGAAAGTGTTGATTTAGAACAAGGACATGAAATAAAATTCTTGGGTGTCATATTAGACGATAACTTCAGCTGGAAACCACAGATCAGCCCAGTAAAATCTAAAATAGCCAAAAGTGTTGCTGTTATAAGAAAAATGAGTTTCGTCCTGGACTATAAATCTTTGTTTATTCTACATAACACACTCACTGTACCACATTTAACATATTGTGTGGAAGTTTGGGGGAATACATACAAAACTAATTTACAGCCGTTATACGTCTTACAAAATAAAATCTATCCGTACACTACATAAAGTGGGATACTGGGAACACACAAACCAGTTATTCATTAAATCAAATATACTGAAATTCTGGGACCTGGTAATATTTAAAACTACACAACTCATGTTTAAGGTCCGAAATCAAAAACTTCCACACAATATACAGGAAATGTTTGGTGACAGAGAGGTGGGTTATAATTTAAGAGGTGAAGGATATTTTAAAAAAACAACATATTAGATCAACCAGGAAGAGTTTTTGTTTATCAGTGTGTGGAGTAAACGTCTGGAATGGATTGAATGATGAGTTAAAAAAAATTACAAATGTAAACCAATTTAAAAAACTGATTAAAGGAGAGCTCATTTCAAAATATGCTATTTAAGATATTTAATGTTCAATAGTCTATAATGTAATTGATGATATAGATCAGTGGTTCCCAAACTTTTTATCTTCTGACCCACAAAATATCCATGGCAAAAACTTGTGACCCCAAATATTACTGGTCTGAGTACACGAACTCCGTTAATAACCCTAAAAACACAGGCTTTTTGACAATCTAAACAGCTTATACACAAATAAAATACTTATTTTTTTTCTTATTTTGTGATTTTGTAGTAATTATAGGGAAAATATTACATCAGCAATTATTTCATTACCCTTTAAATTGATTTCTGGAGATTATCCAAGGTGCTTCATGACCCAGAATTGGGTCCCAAGCCCAACTTTGGGAACCAAAGTGCAGTGGTTCCCAAACTTTTCAGCTTTTGACCCACAAAATAACAGTAGCAGAGACCTGTGCCCCCAGATATTTTTGATGATAAACATTTGTATCAGGTCAACAAAACATGGGCACAGTAACAATATTTTTATACTACATTTATCCATTTTAAATATACTAACCTCACTCCTTTGTAACAAATAAGGCAAAAATGTAATTAATTCAGAAAATCTTTTCAGGACCCCACCTTGATGTTTCGGGACCCCACTTGGGGTCCCGACCCCAACTTTGGGAAACACTGATATAAATAGTACTTAAAATAATTCTACATAGTTAAACATGATGTAAAATGGAAACAAGTTGTCTCTTTTTGATGTTAATTGATAATACATTGACAAGTAGGAAAGGGGCAGGACATTATAAGATGTATCTTCTACCTGCTCCTTTTCCAACAGAAAATATAAAATTTTGCATGCCACATGGGCAAAATAATTTGTATTACATTTTATTTCTTAAGTTTGTTTCATTTAATTTATTTTTATTTTATTTTTGTTTTAATGTCTGTTCGAAATAAAGAAATAAATAAATAATTTTGTCTGTCTCTAAAACATATCATCATTTTATCTAAACAAATTACCAATTAAATCAGTATTAATAATTTGTGAATGAATGAACAGTTTATTTTACGACACCTAGTAGATAAATAAGAGACTCGTCTTTTCCATGTTTTGAAAAGGTGTTTTAAACTTTAATTTGAAACAAAAATAAATAAAATAAATAAAAATCTGCCCCAAAACTCCAAAAAACATTTTTGCTTCATGCACTAAATGCTATAAGTCAGGCTAGTTAGTGAAACGTGTTGCAAGCTATAATAAGCTGATTAGAGAGGGGAAAACACATTTCGGTAAATTGTTTGGCTGGTCCTGATTTAACGGGTGTACATGATTTGACACAACACCGGTGTCCCCGACGAGCTGCTAGCTTAAAACTATTTGACTTTTTGTTCTGCGTTGAAAATGAGCGTCACGTCTGAAAACAAACCGACCTTCCTTGACTGCCTTGACGTGGGCCTTGATCACGTCGTCCGCCGCCATCCTGTGGGACCACCGGCTTGGCGAATACTGCTTCTCCAGCTCCTGCTTGACGAAAAGACTCGTGTGAGCCGCTCAGCCATGAAAGCCGAGTCCACACAACTGTGAGGCGAACAGCGCCCTCTACTGTTTCAACCAGCTCACTGCAGCTGTCATCATGTAAACAGAGTTCTCTGCTGCTTAAATTTACTCACTTCAAGTGTCTTTTTGTTAGTTTAATATTTGTTAAAACTGACTACTAATTAAAGAAATTATGATTTTGACTACATTCAATAACATCTAATTTCTAATAGGGCTGTGTATTGGCAAGAACTTGGCGATACGATACATATCATGACAGAGGTCACAATACGATATTTCCTGATATATTGCGATACTGTAAGCAAGGCGATGTATTGCGATTTTTTTTGTCCAAAAATTCTATTAAATAAAAACCTCTTACAGGGGAAAAAAATGACAAACCAAAATTCATTGTCTCAGAAAATTATAACATTACAGAGACATGCTTTTGATACATTTAGCTGTGTATGTATTTTATTTTATTTGTTTCATATTTCTTATTTCATCCATGTTTTCAATTATTAGACTAAATTTGACAATAAATAGTTTGAAAAGATATATTTTGCAGCTTTTAGTTTTTAATATTAATTTACAATACATACCCAACACTTAACAATAGCCTCTACCTCAAGAGGTAGAGTAGCCAATAGGGGTGTAAAAAAATATCGATACACTGAAATATCGCGATATTTCATTTCCCGATACTGTATTGATATTCTAAAGTCCTGTATCGATATTTAATTAAGGTTTAAAATGTCAACTTTCCTGCCAGCCATTCATTTTTATGTTGTAGTTCAGCCTCTGACCAATAGTTGGCAGCAGTGAGCCAGCCATTTGGCTCCTCTACCCCTTGAGCGCCAGAGAGTAAGAGAGCATTAGCATTATAAGTAAACGTTAGCTTCATACTCCGACAGCTGAATCTGAGCGGAAAAGACTGACACCCTCTGCCTTCTAAGCTGAGGTAAGGTTACGAACAGTTACTTATTTGTCAGAATGTCTGTATTTTAAGACAAATTAAGTGTCTCATGCGCTCTATTTTCCAACTTTAGTCAGCCTTCACGTTAAAGAAGGCTAGCGCATGTCTATGTAATAGAATTTTCTGAGACAATAAATTTTGGTTTTTCTTTTTTTTCCCAGTAAGAGGTTTTTATTTAATAGAATTTTTGGACCAAAATAAATCGCAATATATTGCAAAATATCACCTTGCTTACAGTATCGCAATATATCGGGATATATCGTATCGTGACCCATCTGTCATGATATGTATCGTATCGCCAAATTCTTGCCAATACACAGCCCTAGTAGCCAGATGGCTGGCTCACTGCTGCCAACTAGTGGTCAGAGGCTGAACTACAACATAAAAATGAACGTCTGGCAGGAAAGTTGACATTTTAAACCTTAATAAAAAAATGGATACAGGGCTTTAGAATATCGATACAGTATCGGGAAATGAAATATCGTGATATTTCAGTGTATCGATATTTTCTTACACCCCTAATTTCTATTGTAAATGAAGGGGCTTGAATCACTTGTCGGCCCTCAATGAGTCAAGTGTATTCAGCTTTGTTTCCTGTTTAACTTCAACCAAACAGAAAATGTCACATTCTGCATCTTATTGCTAGCTGAGCACCGCTAACACATAACTGAGCTCTACGTGGTATTTTCTGTATAGAAACAGCGTTTGAACACGTCCTCTTATAAACACTGAAAATTTCTATGTGTACAACTGACTAAATGACTAAATAATACAGAATACTATTAAAATAAAAAAAAGTGTTACTCACTGTTGAGTTGTTAAATTTTGAACTCACTTTCCGACAGATATTTTCTGTGCATAATCAACATGCGTTATGGGAGATGTAGTTTATGGTCACTTTAAAGCAGTTTATTTTGAGACATGAATACAGAGCTATTTAACTAACAACTTGCTCAGAGGCCAGATAAATATTATTATCCTTCACACCACGTTTGGCCCGCGGGCCTTGCATTTGCCACATTTTACATACTGTTTCCCCTACCAACGTTAGGTGAACATGTGCACATTGCTGGTGCCAGAAAGTCAGACAGAGACTTCTTGGGCCAGCCAGACATTATCCTGCAGGCCTCGAAAAATACTAAAAGATAATCTAAATATTTCCTAAACTACTTTTTTAAAGTATCATAATCCGATTTAAAGATATTTCACCACTGTGTACCATCTGATCACTCATTTAGTCATGAAAGTTATTTTAAAATGTACAGCACTGTGCAAAAGTCTTGAGCCACACATACTTTTTAAATATTTTGCTTAAAATAAACTTCCTTGAAATGCCAACTGTTGTTAGAAACAACACTTTTTGTCACACTCTTACGTTTTTTTCCATGTCAGTCCAGTAACAGACCCTGTAATTGTTTTTCAAGTTTTTCTTTTGATAACTAGATGAGTTTTCATTCACTTCAGTCCAGTTCTTGTACATACTTTTACAAGATTACATCTGTCTCCAGTTTTTTTGTGCTACATGCTCATTTCTTTATTTCTGTATTATTTAAGGGATTTCAAGAATATAAAAATCTGCATTAAGTGGTTTAGCAAAGTAAAACGCACTTTTCTGAGAAAGTGGGAAAATAAACAACTAGAAAAAAATCACAATAAAAACTCTAAAAGATACGGCTGATAACAAAGTTAATCTATTTTGAATTTAAATGAAATCAAATGAGACTCACAACTTTTGATCATGAGTACATTTCTTTCTTTTTTCTTATATAAAATACAAATAATTGTCTTACTGTGTAATTCGTTAATTTGATCCTGCAGAAAGAAACAAACACTTATAGTCAAACTCTTACGTCTTTCTTCATTTTAGTCCAGTGCACCATTTTTTAATCTCCCAAAGCCACTGAAGTTGCAGCTGACAGAAAAAAAATCTGTTCCAATCTGCTGAAAATCTGGACTTTAGTCCAATGATCTCTGTTGTGTAAACAGGACTGGGAGCCAGCTGTAAAACTGCAGTTTCCTTTTAAAAAAAACTGAAACAGCACTTCTGCTTTTCAGCAACTATCTGCCAACATGGAAGAGAACTAAAGGACAAAGAGTAATAATTAAATAGCTGTATTTTTTAATGATTTATCTGTGTTTCATCAGCTCATGAAGTGCAGTCTGACTCCGGCTGTTGTAACATGAAAACACACAAGAAGGTGCAAAGAAATTTAATCTAACATATTAGTGTTTTGCCTCAAAGTCCTGCAGAAAAACGTTAAAACACACAGTGAATATTTTATATAACATACTGAAATAATGATTACTTATTGGTCTGCTTTCTTTCCTAGTCATTAAAATCTGACAAATACTTATAAAACGGTCATACTAAATCTCGGTCAAAAGTAATTTGTGCAATGAACTGTCAGATTTGATGGAACATAAACATAAATTATGATCCAGTGACTTTAAAAAATAACTTTATTTAGCTGCAAGCTGCAACTAGAACCTTTAAAAACAGTGTTCTGTTGTTTCCATTCATTTCTGTTCCTGGCTGTGTTTTGTAGTCGGATGTTGTTGATAAAGTTATTTTTAAAAAAAAATCTGTGCTCTGATTGGTCCCGGATTAGTTAAAGCCGATTGGCTGTTGTCGGCACGTGACTTTCCTTCTATTAGTACCATTTTGCGCGCGCCACGTTCAAAGTGTTTTTGTCATGTCCGTATATCCTGTGGCTTAAAGTAGTAGTTTTATAGCTATTATATATATTTTTTATATTAAATAGTTTTTTGTACCGTTTTAACATTATTTTTGAACAAACATGGAGTTGGACTGTCCAGTTCTTTTCCCACACTCACCCAGAAAAGCACGAGGACAGATTCAGGTTGGTTGTTTTTTTTTTCTCTGCAGCTAAAAGAAGAAGAAGCTAAAAGTGAAGAAACGTGAAATAACTTTGTTAAAACGATGGTTAAAAAGCTTTAAGCACTGAAAGGAAGCTCAGCCCGTTTCCTGAATCTAAAAGCCCACTTTGTTGTCGTTTTTCAGGTCATTTTTGGACCGATGTTTTCAGGCAAAAGGTGAGTTTATTAACGTAAAAGTTTATTAATCACGTGTTTTAAGTTGTTGCTGAAGTTGTTGTTATAAATGCTCTGAGCTCATAGTCATGTTGTTTTACATTTCCGCCCAAATCTGAAACATCCCGCCTTATGGTCTTTGTTTACCCCGCAACGTCAGCGATTATGTAAAAAAAAAATCAATAGGAAGAATTGAAAATAATAAATGTTGCAGCTTTGTATGACGATGTAGTCATGGTTTCTGTACCTTTGCATTAGTTTCACTGTTGTAACGTTAATATACAGTAATAGTCCTTCATTTTCTGTTTATTGTTTGCTCCCAGAGAGCTATTTATGAGGTTTTAAGCACAAGTTATTTATACTTTTCTATGGACATTCATTGATCCTTAAAAATGTTTCTAAATTAACCAGTGTTATTTAAAATGTAATGTTTTAAAACATCATTGCTAGTAGCTTTTTATCCCCTCCTGTTTATTAAAAAAAATGACTCAGATGGTTTTAATTAATTGTTGATTGTCTGGGGTAACTGTGCACTTTTGTCCTCAACTTGTCCACTTTCCTTATGATGCCACAGTCTGGTGGTCTGGACTAAGATTGGAGGAAAAACCTAAAAGAGACGCTCTGAAAGCCCAGCAGACTTTTCATTAAGACAACTTTAAAATAATGCAAAAAAACTTTGCATTGATTTAAAACTTTAGCATGGTACTGTAAATTATGTGATCAACACTGCTCAGACTAAAACTTGCACTCCCCTTGCAGCACTGAACTGATGAGAAGGGTTCGCCGTTTCCAGGTAGCCCAGTACAAATGTTTGGTGGTCAAATACGCCAAAGACACTCGGTATTCTGACAGCGGCATGGCCACACATGACCAGTAAGTTTCTGTTGATGCAAATGAGCTTGTTTGTTTGCTGGACTGATTGAGTCAATGTGAAAAACACACCTAGTTTTGGTTAAAGGGCGTAGTTTCAAATGAAGCAGCTTCATTTAGGTTTATGGTCATTTCAATTAAACGTTGTCCACTGAGTTTTTAAAGTATTTTCCAACACAGTTTTGTATTAAGTAGTTTATATTTGGAGCCACAAACAGAATTGACTCAACTCATTAATTTTTATTTGGCTAGCTCTACATTTTAGTTTCACAGCCCAGTTCAGCTTATTTACTTTGTTTAGGTAATAATTCACACACCAAAGTATCTTGAGTACCACTGGAAGCATCCTGAGCACCAGCAGTGGTCGTTAAAACAGTTTGGTTACACAAAGGTTTGTATTTCTCTCTCCTGTCCTTCAGAAACACCATGGAGGCCATGCCAGCCACCTGTCTGGGAGATGTTCGGTCCGTGGCGCTGAAAGCCTGCGTTATTGGAATCGATGAAGGCCAGTTTGTAAGTTTGTCTCCCCGCTTCCAGCTGAAACCTAATTTCCCTTTCGTACAGCTCAGGATGTCCAAGTTGTTTTGAAGAATTTGCCATTTAGACGTTTTGGGTTTAGACAAGTGACCGACAGCACCACTAACTAATTTGTTTTGTAGTTTCCAGACACGGTGGAGTTTTGTGAGGAGATGGCCAATTTAGGGAAGACGATCATCGTAGCTGCCTTGGATGGAACTTTCCAGAGGAAAGTGAGTGCTGTATGCTGCAGGTCCAACTAATGCTGCAGACAATAGACATATCTGACCCAAACAGCACAGATGTAGACGACTCAGTGTTCCCATTATTCCAAACACAAGGAGGTCGATTGATAGTTCGCAGTTGATTTTGCAGTGTTAAATTAACACTTAAAGAGTTAAATTTAACACTGTTTGAGTCTATTTAGTCCTCTTCTGAATTGGTGTCGATTTAGCTCTAAACAGAGTTAAAACTTACCACTGACTAACACTGTACAGTGTTAACATAACTTACCACTGACTAACACTGTACAGTGTTAACAAAACTTAC